ATCAAATCAATTAAATAATTGGCCCCAATTACTCCAACAGCCTAATAAACATAACCAACATATTATCTTAACCGCCCAAACTCAATCATCCTATGAAAGAAATTAGATTGCAACCCAAACAAATTACCACTCAAAAGCAGCCCACTCCAAAATCAGCCCACACTAAATAGCAAACCTAATATAACATCCCAATAAACTAAATATTCAAACTCAACCTTCTGCCAAATTACAATGTCACCAACAAGACCATTACCCATTGCAAGCCCATTAACCTTTCATTCCCAACTAATACTACAACCCAAGCCCAATTAATCTCATCACAAGTTAAATCAACCCAACAAATAAATACCCAGCCCATTAGCCCATTAACCCATCAACTCAAAACTTTCTGGGATCAATTTTGGTGCGTTACCATATTATTATAACATTATACGGCCTCAGATGAATTCGCTCCCATCAAAGGATGCCGAATAGAAAGCCGTGTTTCTCGCATGTTTAGAAGGCATTGTAACTATATTCAACTAATTTAAATCACAACCACACAACCAAATTAACTACTCCAAATCCAACCCACAATTGCATTGTAGCCCAAATTTGACAATCGAAGTGCACCCCTAAAAATGCACACTTCTAGATAAGACCTCTTCAAGTTCTGAACTAGAAAAATCTTCCAACGGTGACGATTCAGATGATTTTTGGAAGTCGTTTGTAGTACCATCGGTGGTCAATCAATCAAAAGGTGAAAGCGATTTACTTCCAGCACAGGAGAAAAAAGAAGTAGCCAAAACAGAAAGCAGTGAACTTGATTCCAGCATGCCAAAATCTAGATTAAAACCCAAGGCTGCAAAATGGAACGAATGGAAACCGGAAGAGGTTAAAAAGCAAATTGAATTGCATGGGGAACTCAACAGAAGATTCCAAGTTCCCAGGAGACGGATGGCCCTCTGGGAAGAAATATCTTCAAATCTGTTATCTGATGGAATTACTAGAAGTGTCGGACAATGCAAAGAAAAACAACATTCGTAAGCCGAAAATGAAATTCAAAAGTTAATTTTTTTAGGATCGAAATCGCTCTGATATCATCTTAAACAATTCAAAGAAATAAAGAAAAGGGAAAAAGAGGCTAGAATTTCATTAATTATGCATTATGCAATTGAATACAAAGAATGATTTAACTTAGAAACAAAGAGACTATATATGGGCTAAATGAAGAAAATTGAAAAGACTATTCTACCCTTAATAAACAATAAAATAAAATACCCTATATTTCTTAACAAATGAAGGCTTTAATAACAAACTTTTTATTTGGAGGGATTCCATGTTGTAATTTGTTCGGAATATAAACGTGAGTAGTGGGGGGTGAAATGTTTGACATTTCAAGTAGTACGAGCAAGCTTTTTGAGCTAAGGGGCTTTGCCTTGTTTGCAATCACGTCTCGCTACACGATGCTGCAAAAATTCAAATTCTTTTGAATGCTTACCATGAAAAGCTGCTAAAGAGTAATGGATGAACCTATAGCCTCCACCCCTCAATATATAGCGCCCAAACTTGCTGACATGACCTCTAGGTAGTTACATATAAGAGGATGTGTGTCCTTATTCATCTCTAAAATTTGGAGTGATACAAGAAGTTGTCTTTTTATACTGTTGAGAATTAAAAATCCTATTTCTATTGTCAACAACAATAAAATCACAATATGTATATATATACATAAGAAAACGTAAGATTTATAAAAGTTCGCCTCAATTTGAAACTATGATCTCTTTCACATGTAGTAATTCATGAAAAGAATATTACAAGAGAAAATTGCACACCCTATCTTCTCTAACCCCTCTTTCTCTATTAATGGTAATCCAAACCCTAGTAATAGCTTCCTATTTATAAGACAAATTAAAGTAAAATGAAAAATGTAAGTATTGAATTTCTAAATTGTCCTTGATGAAATTTTGAATCGTTCGCATCCTCTGAGAGGGGGCCTTTTGCCTCCTTCCAACCCTTGATGACCTTAGTGTCTATAACTGGTCTCCACAATTTAACGCGCATTAAGATGTCTATACAAGCAAATTAGGATGTTTTTTATTGCAAGCATGAAATTTGGATGGAAAGAAAATAAATTTCAAGCAATTGAATTCCATAGAATTTATTTACATGGAAATTATTAATTAAATGTGTTTGACTGATTTAATTTTCAACCTAGAAAATGTTATATTTGTTTATATTTTATAGGTAGGTAGATGAGGGAGAGGTGAGATAGATGAGAGAGGAAGAAAGAAAGAGTGAATTATTTGAAAAATAAAATCTTACTCTCCTCAAAGAAAATATTTGCATTGTTTTTGAGGAAAATACGGTCACGTGACCAAAAGTAGGAAAATATTTTCTATGGAAAAAAAAAATCAATCAACAGTATAAAAGCAGGATTTTAGGTGGCAAAAAAACATTTTTCATAGGAAATATTGGCAATCATGCTCCATTAGAGGATTTTTTTTTTTTTAATTTTTTTTTGTGTGTTTTCTTGAGAGAAATTTGAATTTTATACCCTTTTTTTTGCAAATTATCTTGGATTTTTGGAGTGGCCCATTTTGTTTTTCCAAAAAAATATTGTAAATGCAAGAAACCCTAATACCCTTTTTATTGACGTGTACTTCGACGGACAGAATATCACATAAAGTAATTGTCGCTTTTTATTCATATGCATGCAAGTACCAAGTGAGTTATCATGTCTTGAAATTTTTGAATGACGCATTTTAAATATATCCTGTATCAAATTATTATTGAATCATGTCTTTGTTGAGTCAAATATCGTTGAATTGTATTGATCTTTTATATATCATGATTTCTTTTGTGACTTTGTCTATCTTTCAATCCTTCACTACATTGCTTGGCATAAATTCTAGCCTTTCGTGTACAATCAAGAGGCAATTCGGTTCTTCGGTTCTTGGTCAAGAACCGAGAGTCGAACCAAACCATTTGCTTCTCGATTCGAATACCCGTTCGGGTATTTCATTTTAAAAAACCCGCTCGATTCGATTATGTTCGGTTCGGACATTTTGCTCAACCCTACTTCCAACCCTTGATGACCTTAGTGTCTATAACTGGTCTCCACAATTTAACGCCCATTAAGATGTCTATACAGGCAAATTAGGATGTATTTGATTGCAAACATAAAATTTGGATGGAAAGAAAATAAATTTCAAGCAATTGAATTCCATAGAATTTATTTACATGGAAATTATTAATTAAATGTGTTTGACTGATTTAATTTTCAACCTATAAAATATTATATTTGTCTATATTTTATTGGTAGGTAGATGAGGGAGATGTGAGATAGATGAGAGAGAAAGAAAGAAAGAGTGAATTACTTGAAAAATAAAATATTACTCTCCCCAAAGAAAATATTTTCATTATTTTTGAGGAAAATATGGTCACATGACTAAAAGTAGGAAAATATTTTCTATGGAAAAAAATCAATCAACAGTATAAAAGCAGGAATTTAGGTAGAAAAAAAACATTTTTCATAGGAAATATTGGCAATCATGCACCATTAGAGGATTTTCTTTTTTTTTTACTTTTTTGTGTTTTCTTGAGAGAAATTTGAATTTTATCTCCTTTTTTTGCAAATTATCTTGGATTTTTGGAGTGGCCCATTTTGTTTTTCCAAAAAAATTATTTTAAATGCAAGAAACCCTAATTCCCTTTTTATTGACGTGTACTTCGACGACATAATATCACATAAAGTAATTGTTGCTTTTTATTCATATGCATGCAAGTACCAAGTGAGTTATCATATCTTGAAATTTTTGAACGACGCATTTTAAATATATCCTGTATCAAATTATTATTGAATCATGTCTTTGTTGAGTCGAATATCGTTGAATTGTATTGATCTTTTATATATCATGATTTCTTTTGTGACTTTGTCTTTCAATCCTTCACTACATTGCTTGGCATAAATTCTGCGGAAAGCACATGTTAGTTCTCCGTCAAGTAATTGTACACCCAAAGAAACTACCTAAGGAACAAATAACCCTCCCCAATTATTGCAAGTCATGGAGGTCGACAAACATATTGTGCTTAAAATTATTTTTGAGTTTCATATTATGTCAAGTACGATTTCAAAGTTACATTGTTATTACATTCACAGTCACGTGCTATCACGTGCCTATTCCTCGAGAAAGATATTTTCTTGCAATGAACCAAAAGGCAAAAACGTTAAACTGAAATTCTGACTTCAGTTGAGGTTCAGAATCAGACCGTTTAAACACTTGGACAACAATGGTAGTAACCACAACCTTACCATCCTCAAATACAATTCTTCCAACAACCCACAATTCATCCGTTTCTTCATCTTCTTCAAATCCCAAATCTGTCCATTTTTCACCCATTAAGCGCCGTGAACTTTTGACTTCACTGTTCATCACTATCTCCCCATTCTTTGCAGCTCCTCAAGTTAATAACCCCACAAATGCAAACCCAGTTTCCTTGCCAGTTTCAAAAGCCCGTGGCCTGTTTCAAATGCCCCCTGCTCGTCTCACTAACAGGTTAGTAGTGTATACATATGCTTTTCTTGATTATATGCCCCTATACAGGTTATTTTTTTTGGGAAATTTTGTGCGTAGAGCGAGAGTCACTTACTGTACAGGAAAGTGGCCAAGCGAATTTAAAAGAATTGTAATGACTCTAATTGTATCGTATTCTTAAATTAAAGCTTAGCTTTTGGTAAGGCCAGAGCCTAGCTCAGGTAAAAGTGAAGCCTTAATATGCCAATGAGACTGTGTTCGAGCCTCCTTCTGGGGATGGGTGAAGTCTTTTGATCCCCTTTAAAAAATATTAACAATAAAAAACCTTAGCTTGGGGAATATGAATATCATGCTTTGGCACCCTATCTTAGAGGTCAGTTATAGTTATTAGAGCACACAACCTTTTGGATGTCAAGTGAAGATTTGTATTGTGGACTTATAACCACTCCTTTTATGACCTAATGGAAATTAATGCGAAGAAATGTGCCTAAAACGTGTTGATTTTCATTATACACGAGAATTTAGTCAATGAATAATTCCGCGATTTGCAATCAAATACCAAATAATTGATCTTGATCGACAAACTTGATGACTCAAAGTTGAATACTGAGATTGGATAGAAAGTTGGAGATACTCAGAATGCAATGCCCTTCACAATAGTTTTGGCTGATCAGTTATACACATTGGAGCCCAACAGCTCTTATTGAAAAAATAAGGTAGGAAATAATATAAAGAGGAATGAAAAATTAATAAGCCGATATTGGGTTCAGTGCCGCAGACAATAAAGCGATAAGGAGAATAATTGATGGGATCCATTAGCAATCTGGTGGTCTCGCTGCTTAATCACATATCCAGACTTGGCTCCATTTAGTGTTTAATCTCCAATATTTTTGAGCATGTATAGAAAACCAACATGCCTTGGTTGTAATCTTTTTCATCTTGCAATAAGTTACCGATAAATGCAGATTTAAGGTTGTGGCTTGTTTGCTGGGGTTTGTGCAGGTACTATTTGGTGAGAGCAGGGGAGTCAGAATATGAGAGTTTGGGGATAATTAACACAAATCCAGTGGCTAAGACATCAGTGGATAATGGGTTATCCGAGACGGGAAAGAAGCAGGCAGTGATGGCTGCATTGACATTGAAGTCGATGGGAGCATGTGAAAGTAACTTCTGGATTTGGCCTTCTATAACTCAGAGGGCTTATCAGGCTGCTGAGATTATTGCTGCTGTTTGTGGAATCAGTAGAAGGTAATGTTATTATTAGTAATATATATATTTTTTTTCGCCGTTATTTTTAAAATTCTATAGAGGAGCCCTTTCATTGTTGTGCTAAGTGTTTCAAAATTTGCAAAAGAACGGGAATTTTTTTGGGTAATCTTAGTTGAGTCTTAAGCTCTAGTGACTGAACTTTCTTCTACTTAAAGATGGAAGTGGAATACCTTTACTAGGCGAGAAAATGGTCCTGCTGAAATCTTATTTTTGGGTCGAGTTTTTCTTTTTTGTTAAGAATAATCGGTAAACACTAAGATACTTTCACATGTCATCGTAGCCATATAGTCCCAGAATACAGCTTCTTGGATGCTCGGGGATTGGGAGCATATGAAGGAAAGAAATTGGATTCCGTCTCTGAGGTAATAATTAGAATATATTAATACGAGAATCGGATTCAACATTATAAATTTTTGGCGGTTATCAGTTTATTCATAATGTTTTACTCATACTCCTAGTTTTAGAATGAAGCATCTAAAAGTATTGTAGAAGTGTTAGTGTATGTTTGGCAAAGCTTAAAATTTTTTAAGTGCTTATAAGCTGTGGATCCTACGTAATGAACTTATTCATGTTAAATTGTCTTCTTGAAAACTGGCTTTAGGTCTATGCATCAGATAGCCTCTCCGCGAATATAAAGCCACCTCCAATTGATGATGGAACACCAAATGAAAGTGTTTCAGATGTGTTTGTTCGTGTGACACAACTTATGTCGATTCTCGAGACTCAGTACTCCGGGGACACAGTCATTATAGTTTCTCCAGATTCTGATAACTTGACAGTGCTACAAGCTGGCTTAGTCGGGCTGGATCTTCGAAGGCAAGTGACTTGTGGATCTTGAATTTGTCTTAATGTATTGCTCGAGTTACATAAATTTGCCCCGATATCGATTTTGCAGGCACAGGGATCTTGCTTTTGTGCCTGGTGAAGTCAGATTCATCGATGCTAGTAGCATTCCAACGTACAAGCAACCAGCATCTGCTGTGTATAAATGTTTAAATCCCCCAAACTGTAATTGAAACTCTTTCCTTTTAACATGATTTTATGCAGCATGATTATGATCCTTGTACATTCTGTCTTGAAATATTCTTAGAAGTTCATTCTATGATTCTTCATTTACTAACATTTTTCGAGAAAACTTATTCGCTAGAACTTCTTGCGTTGATACAATACACACACGTGCACACTCTATTATATGTGTTGTATGTATAAGGGCATATTTATTACGCAGTATTGACTAGGATTAAACAACGTTGAAGAAGAAAAAATGTTAAAATCTTATACATCTAACAACACACATGTGCACACTCTATGATATGTGTTGTATGTAGTATTTGGTTGTTAGATGTATAAGATTTTAACATTTTTTCTTCTTCAACGTTGTTTAATCCTAGTCAATATTGTGTACTAAATATGCCCTTGTACAGATATTTCATAGAAAATGATTATTATAATTGATGTTTCTATCTTATGGTCTTTTGATATGAACAATACTGAGTACAGAAAAAATCAACAGAAAATCAATAGAGAATACACTTGGAAGGTTTTCATTGGAAGGGAAAAAAAGGCGTGTAAGCACCCTGTTCAAATTCTATAGAAAAACCATGTACCTGTAGCGTTATTGTTTTGATATTCTCTAATGCCAAGGCAATATAATTGAGAACATATTTCCAGCCTCTTATAGTGTGTATTTATTTTCCATGGAAAATGTCAATTTTTCACCTAAATTTATAATTTAAAGTGTTTGATTGCTATTTTTTCCATAAAAAATATTTTTCAACCTTTAAAAATATGTTTAATTTTCCCTTTTTAAGGAAAACATTTTCTTATTGTTTAAGAGGTGACTCTGTGAATTTAATGAATGTTATCTCACACATGAGATTTACTTATAAGTTCACTAAATATAGTGAAAGGAAGAAGAGAAAGGTGTAATCCCTCATGATTTTATCGATATGTCTCTACATTCGACTTTTTTGCAGTTGTGTTGATTCTTCTCAGGAATTGCGTATTTTATATAGATGTAATTTTTTCCCCCTCAAGAAAGCACCATTTCTATCTTTTTGTAACAAGCCTTTCTCGATTATTTATGAACTTCATTGAAAAAGAAGTCGAAATATTTGGGTTTAAATCTTCATTTTATGTGGTCCATCAAAAGTATCGGTCCTTCTATACGTCATTCTTTTAATGAACATTTTTTTTTTAGTTGGTCCATTTAGCAGGTGGTTCACTCGTCTCTACTTTGATGTCATTTTCCATTTCTTAGTGTCCACGATGTATTTGGCCAATTTTGGCTTTTTAGGGATAGAATTTGAAACTGAGTTGGGCAACAAATTTGATATATATTTCTTTGGGAAAAATTCGTAAATAAGGTGTTTACTTTATATCAATTCAAAAATCTGGTTTATAGTTTGAAATTTCAAAAATTAGGTTTTTTTTTATAATATAATATAATAGGGTTAATTTCACAAACGGTCACTGAAGTTACGTCAAAACCACAAAACGGTCACTGAAGTTTAAAACTTGCATCAACGGTCACTGAAGTATCATTTGGTTGCACAAACGGTCACTGAAGGACCTTTTCATTTTAATTGGAACTTAAGGACCAAGATAGTTGACATTTGAAACTTGAAGGCCTAAATCACAAATTTTACAATAAAACCCTCCAATCCCCATTTCTTACTCTGTGAAACGATCTGAGAAGAATGGAAGCGGGAGGAAATTGCCGAACCAAGGTGGAATTGTACCCTCCATACGGTTCCAGGACAAATCCAATAGTCGCATTTTGTACACCCACTCAACCATTGAGGAATTATACTCGTGAGTCTGTAGTTGGCAATAACAAGAGCCTTGAGTTTAGTCAATTGATGGTAATGGAGGTGGACACCAGCACATTCAGACCTTCTATGAAATTTTTGAGGGCAGCTTGAACCTTAAAGTGTAGTGTAGATGGTGATATTTTCTTTTGATGTTGACACTGGTTTTGTGGTGTCACTAAAGTGGGGTCGATTAAGCAATGTATCTGAAATTTTTGGGTCAATTAAGTCAACCTGTAGTCTGAGTTTGTGCTGGTTTAATCTTGTATCAGTCATCTGAATTTGTGCTGGCTTGATGTTGAGTGTAGAAAGTGTTGTGGTGTATCAGGTGCTATATTTGTGATGTATCAAGTGCTATATTTGTAGAAAGTGTTGTGGCTTAATTTTGAGTCATGTAGTTATGAGTGTGAAGGAATATCTGTAGGTTCATCAATCAAACAATTGATAAAAACAATAAAACATCATCTTGACTCACAATATCTCTAGTTTGCACTTGAATTTTACCTAATTACAGCAAAGCAGTGAACTTGACTGGGTGCTAGTTTGATATAGTGTGGGGGACTTGTTTGTGGTGTAATACAATCACACAGAGAAATGAACAAACAAAGTGCAAATATTGTAATCAGACTTGCAACAAATGGATTAAATTTCCACTCCATCAAATAGATAAATCAGCAAAAAACAGTGCAAGTTTTTGAATCTGCAAAAATGACTCTTATGCAGCAACTAAAGAAGTAGACATTAAGCCAATTCCAACTCCCAAAAATGGCAGTAGAGCAGTGAGTGAAATATCACTCATAATCTTCCACATTACATCAAAAAAGGAACAATGACAAAAACTACATCGTCACTTTCCAAATAGAGTTTGAAAAGAGGATTTGATTATCTGGGTTCTTGATTGGAAGCTCAACTTAAGGATTGGGAAGAATTAATGGGATGATATTTAGCATGATTTCCCCTAATTTCCCTCCCAAAATAGCTTCCATCTCCTCAGGTCGTGTATAAGCCAGTAAGAAATAGGGATTGGGGGGTTTTATTGTAAAATTTGTGATTTAGGCTTTCAAGTTTCAAATGTCAACTATTTTGGTCCTTTAAGTTCCCATTAAAATGAAAAGGTCCTTCAGTGATCGTTTGTGCAAGTTTTAAACTTCAGTGATCTTTTTGTGATTTTGACGTAATTTCAGTGACCGTTTATGAAATTAACCCTAATATAATATAATAAACCCACCCCACTTGCACCACCCCTACTGCTCCGGGACTATTTCGACGACCATTCCGACCATCACTTTTTTCGGCGATCGTTCAGGCGACCATTCCGACCACCACTTTTCTCCGACAACTTTTCCGACAACTGGTCACATATTCATAATTATAAGTCATAGATTTATTTACTGGTCACATATCGTCAAATTAATTGGTCACAAATTATTTTATGGTCACA